AGCCACCGGTACCCTGCCGAATTGCCTTTCAAAGCTAAGTTTATTTATCTCCAACTCGGTGGAAATTTCCCTGAAACATCTTAAGAGAGCTGCCGTGTCCCTTTCCACACCACCTCTGTTGCATGGATATATTTTGGTTGGTGATTGCCCCGTGTTATGTTAACCTGTAGGGATCTGGGAGCGCTTCAATGGTGGATTCTGTTCTTGTTAATTTTGATTTCTTTACCTACGGCACACAAGTCATTTTATATACTCATATCTCCCAAATGAATGGTTGAAAAGGACTGGACAATTATTGCTCAATGACCCTGCAATCTCAACAGCTGGCCGCGACTTCTTTCCAGGTGGCCTTGTCCCAGTCATAACTGCTCCAGTTCTGGAAAACCACATTCGCTGTGAAGTGCACTTGATTCCAACCAGGCAACAGTTTCCTGTCTGTGGTAGAAGCCCCCACACTACCACCGGGGCTACAGAACTGTGGTTTCTGCATCACCGGTTCTCCTGCCAAGTGAATACCTAGCCTCAGACTCTGTTTGATTGCATCAGGGAGGCCTTTGCTTTCTGTATACATCCTTTTCCGGCATGCCTCCACTCAGTCATGGTGCCAAGGATATCCTGTCTCTGTCACTCTGTAAGTTCCAGTTGCAGTACAGAAACCCAAATTAAGAAAAATATCAAGCCCATACAAAGGTTATTCCCAAACTCTCATTCAGGGCTGACTGAATTAGAAAAGTAGTGTCCTCCTTGACAAAAGTTACCGGCCCACAATCTTGTCAGAAAAATTTCTACGAGGGCTGGGAGGTGGCTCAGTGGTAGAGCGCTTGCCTTGCATACATGAGGCCCTGGGTTCGATTCCTCAGTGCCACATAAGCAGAAAAAGCTGGAAATGGATCTGAGGCTCAAGTGGTAGAGCGTTAGCCTTGAGCTAAAGAGCTGAGGGACAGCGCCCAGGCCCAGAGTTCAAGCCCCACGACAGAATAAATAAATAAATAAAAATAAATTTTTAAAAAATGTCTATGAAACTTTAGTGTGCATTAGAAGCAGCTCCAGACAGCTCAGCTTGGATCATTAGTATTACTAATTGGGAAATGAGTGGGCTTAAAAAAATAAATTGTGGTTGGCTCACACAGTGAATGTTCCTTTTTTTTTTTTTTTTATTTTTCTTGCTACTCCATTAGTCAACCCTGAAGCAGGAAAGGTTTGTCCCAGTAATTCAAGCATGGTATGAAGGAGGAGATGAAAGACAGCAAGATAAGAGGGCCATGATAAACACTAAGAGATTATGTCCCATAATTAAAGTGCTCATCATGCTAAGGTCTTTCCACGACAGTGATCAAGGTACTTCCTGAGGGGAAAGTACAGCAAGTGCCACCAGGAACCTTTAAACCCCATCTGGCTGCTCAAAGAGTGCCCAGATCTTTCTCCTTGCACTCTTTTCTGCATGGCAATGAGTTTTCCTCCAGGTAAAACTTGGCTTGTAATCACTTGTATCAATGCTGAGCAGCCACAGTATGGTACGGTGGGCAGTGCCCTGGGGAAGGGTGCCTTGTTAGACACTTGCAGGGATCAGTGGATTCCTATGATGGTAGTAACGTAATACACCACTAGTACAATCCTCAAAGTTCCTTCTTTGGGATTATAGATGGTCTCTGTTCTCCACTTTCAGAAGCAAAGATTCAGAACTAGGGAATCTACTTGTCTCTATAGTCTAAGAGTAAGCACATTTCCAGGAGGACCACAAATAAGGTTAGCTATATCTGACCCCAAAGTACACATATGTTTTCCTGGTATCCTCTCCTCTGCCAAAAAGACCTTCCATGTGTTTCTCCTGCTGGGTGCATGTGTGACTTCTGCCTCAAAGGACAGCCATGGGGTCAGGAGGCAAGGATGTCTTATCCATTGGGACAATCCGTCCTTCAAGTCTCTTCACCGTGGTATGCCATAGACCATAGGTGTGTGCACAAGCAGAAACCTGTTCCTGGGGCAGATCTAGGATAAGGGAGGGTAAGATTTCAGTAGTAGCACTCTAAAATCTTCTGGGTCCTTAAGAAGTTCCTTTATTTCTTTAACAAGAATTAAGCTAATTAGGATATGATAGGAAAAAAGAACAAAAAAAGGAAAACGTTTCCTGATCATCAATGTCACACATGGAAAGGAAAAGACAGAGTATTTAGAGTACATTAGTAACACAATGACATAAAATCCCAGACAAACAATAATACTGGAGCTCAATAACTAACTGCAGCTCAGTTTTGGGGGGAGCAGAGACGTTATCAATGCCCTCACGAAGAAAAATGAAGATATTCTTATAGGCAAGATCAAGCAGAGAGCATGCAACTGTATATATAATCTTAAAGCAATATCAAAACAATCTGGGAATCCAAATCAACCAGAAATAAGTGTGTGTGTGAAATGGAAGACATCTTATGGGAGAGTGATAAGGGACAAAACTAAGAATATACTTGAGGTTCTGGATTCAAGGGACAGTGAAGGCTGGATTGGAAAGTTGGCCTAGGATGTTGGGGGCAAGGGTACTAAAGGGCTAGATTTATGTTTCAGAAGTGATTTTGGCCCTCGTTGTAGTAGAAGGGTGAACACGTGTGAAAGGAATGCAGGATGGTGGTGGGGCATCTGCCAGAATGCCACTGTAAATCTTGAAGGCTCAGCCTTACGGTGGCAGTGATGATAGGAGTCACGGCACGTAGTAGGAGTGGATGAGAGTGTACCTGGATCTGTTAGCAACCAGTCTGGGATCAAGTGGAAAAGGAAAAGGACTCTATGGTAGTCTCATAGGCATGTGTCTATAGTGGAGATGACCTTTCTTATTGTTATTATAAAGGTGATGTACAGAGGGATTACAGTTATATGTCAGGTAAAGAGTCCATTTCTTTTGGGACAATGTCACCCCTTCCCCTCACTCTCTCCCAGTTTTTCCCTCTTGTCCCCACTCCCATGTTATATGGTTCATTTTCCACTTAGTGTCTAGTGATTACCACTGCTGCATTTGTTCACCTTTTGTCCCTCATTTCTGTGTCCTCCCCTTCCCTCCCAAAGACAGATAAATGAACAAGAACAAAAAGAAAACAACAACAACAAAGAAAAAAACCCTCGTTTCCATTTCCTGGAGTTCATTTCTATAGGCAATGACCCTTCCACCCAAGTGCTCTCCCCTGTTGGTCTACAACTCAATCTCTGACTTCTCATGAGTCAGTGGTGAAGCTGGCCCCCCAGAGCATGCGCTCCTCTGATGTTTGTAGACTCAGAAGGATGTCAGTATGACACCCTGACCCAAGGTATCAGTCTAACCCTATCCTCTCACAAATAGGGAGAATGAGCCCAACAGAGACAAACATGGCTATTGACAGGGGTCCAGAAAAATGAAAGCAACCACATTTCCTGCTTTCCTGTGCGACTATTAGGGCCTGACCAGTGGAGAGATGGCCATGATGCCCAGTCATATCATCTTATAATGTGGGTGGAGCTCTTAGGGGAAAAATCTATAGATTAAGGTTAGTGCCAGTCCAAGCATTCAAATCATGCTGGGAAGTTTTTGCTATCCCTTCTTTCACTCATAAGTAAGAAGTTAAAGAAGAGGATTTCCAAGAGAAAACTGGATGATATAATGTATAGTCAGTTTAAGTCAGGTTTTTCATGCCTCAGAATAAAATTTCCTAGCCAGCAATAACATTCTTGGGGGCATTTATCTGAAGGAATGTGCTTCAACATATAACAAGGGCACCTGCACACTCATGTTCATTGCAGCACTATTCTCGACAGCCAAGCTATAAAACAGCACAGATGCCTTACAATTGGTGAATGGATCAAGAAAACGGGTTTTTATATATTCACAGGCTATTATGCAGCCGAAAAGAAGAATGAAATTATGTCACTTGCAGAGAAATGGATGGACCAGTAAACTCTCATATAGAATGAAATAGGTAAGGCTTAGGAGGACAAAAGACATACGCTTTCTCTCATTATGTGGGTGTTACACCTAAAATATAACTAAGTAAGCACGTACAGGATCATGTGTGCATATATATATCATATAGATACATACGTTGACTAACATGTGGCAAATTAATGTGTGTGACACCCTGACAAAAACCCTTTGAGCAATCAACAAGTACTTTCATGGAAAAGAATATTACGGAATTGAATTTTTTTTTTTTAATCTGGAGTGTTGACATTGGTGGGAGTGGGTCAGACAATGGCAAGGGGAAGGGAAAATGAATATAGACAAGACACATTATATCCGGGTGTAAATACGGAACACGGAAACTTGCTGAGACTGGTTTGGGAGCAGGAGATGGGAGGAAGAAGAATGTCAGAGGGGTTATTATTATCAGGAAGCACTGGATGTACATAGCCGATCATGTCAAAATGAAACTCCCTAATTGATACCCATTCATTAAAAAAAAAAAAAAAGAATCCATTTTCTACTTCTACCTTGTAAGATCATAGTCCCTGCAGGCCTGTGTGGTCGTTGTAGGTTGTCTAGAAAATGATGATCGAGGCTTTCTGTGGGGTGCTTTGCAGCCCTAACCTTTCCAACACGCCGTGTGAGAGAGAGGTTGCCTTTCATCTGCAGAAAAAAACAAAAATCACAGCCACCAAAGGCCTAAAATCATTCCATCATCATATCCCAGGGTTTCTTACAGTGGGAATCGCAGCCCCACTAGCCAATTACCTGCGATTCGCAAGCAAACGGTGCAAATAGATTCTCCCGTTCCACCACTGGAGCAGGCCCTGGCGGGGAGGCCCATCAACAGCCTTTCTTAGCACCAATTGTGGGTCGCAGGCTGATGGGTCCTACAGGAAGGGCGTGGACTGACCTTCCCTCCCCGATCGGTCCGGACTGGATTCCTAGGAGACCTGGCCTCCTTCAAAACCCGGTGGAGCGGAGGCGCGGCGGGGAGGGGGTGCAGAGAGAACACAACACAGGCGGAGCCCTCTTTGTTTTAATCGAGCCTGGGCCTCGCGTCAGGAGCTGGGCCTGTTCAAGCCTCGCCCTTGGCCTCGCCTTCGCTCTCGGCGGGGGCCGCGGTGGTGGCCGGGGCCTCTTCTGCTCCACCAGCGGTCCCTCCACCTCCCGCGGCGTCTCCTCCGCCCGGCGCGACTCCTTCACCGCCGCAGTTTTGGCTGGTCAGAATGCAGCACACTTTCTTTTGGCTGCAGATGCCCGTGGCCGGCTGTATTTGCACCTCTCCAACTCTGCACGTGCTCCTGCAATTTCCCGTCCTGTTGGCACATTTCCTCACGTACCAGTTACCTGCACAAAGAGATGACACCAGTATTTCCACCTGAGGTGTTGATGATCAAACACAAACGATCGACCGGCAATTACCTGCGCAAAGGGATTCTATACAGCAGTCAATCTGAGATATTTGGGTTTTTATTTTTTAAAAGGTACAATGAGCAATAACTATCAGCACTGACAATCAGGCCGCTCAGCAGTTTACTTTTTTTTCTTTTCTGAATCCATAGAACTTGCTCTGAATACTAAATGTGATTTTATAAACCCATATAGGTCCAGAATTGTATATTCATGGTTGGGCCTTAGTGATTTCCTTCCTTTCCTTCCTTCCTTCCTTCCTTCCTTCCTTCCTTCCTTCCTTCCTTCCTTCCTTCCTTCCTTCCTTCCTTCCTTCCTTCCTTCCTTCCTTCTTCCCTCTCTTCTTTCTCTCTCTTCCTTCCTCCCCTCTCTTTCTTCCTTTCCTTCTGTTAGTTTAATGCTCACCTTTGGTCCTCAGCTCCACCCAGACCTGAGCCCCTCCCATCCCTGGAGTTCCCGCCATACATCTGGCTCCTCCCTCTCTCCGCCCAGATCTACCTGGGCTCCCATCTACCTCGCTTCCAATGCTCAGACTCTCCTGCTACCCTGATAGGGATAGGTGTGATGTGCTCCCTCTTGGGGAAAATAAGGCTCCTCTAGTAAAACTTGTAATCCTCTTTCTCCTGTGCCTGCCTGCCTGCCTCTGCGTGGTCCCCTGGGATGATGTGTGGGACCCTTCACCTTTCCTTTCTTTTTTTTTCCTTTCCTTCCTTGGGGTTTAACTTGCTAGGCTGGTGCTATACCACTTGAGCTATGCGTCCAGCCCTGTTTTTTGCCAGTGGTTTTTGAGACAGGGTCTTGCTTCTTGATTGGCCTCAGACCTTGGCCATTAACTAATGGTGGCAATGTCTTCCCATTGTGGCTGAGATCACAGGCTCACACCACCGTATCTAGCTTCCCTTTATGAGATAGAGTCTCATGGACTTTTCTACCCAGTTTGCCCTGGAACTGTGATCCTCCCAATGTCAGCCTCGCAGGTAACCTGGGAGGTAAATGCTCCAGTGTCCAGCTATGGCTTGAGAAAGGATCTTGTGAACTTTTCTGCCTGGGTTGACATCAAAGCCAAAGCACAATCCTCTCATTCTCTGTTCTCTCACATTGTTAAGATTACAAGCATGATACAGGTACCTGTCTGGGCCCTTCATTATTGAAATCAGAACTCGGCATATAAACTTACTAGAAGACTTTTTCTCAGATTTTTTTTTTTTTTTTTTTTTGGTATCGGTTGTGAGTTTGAACTCTGGGCTTGGGCGCTATACCTGAGCTTTTCAGTGAGCACACTACCGATTGAGCCACAGCACTACTTCCAGTTTTCTAGTGGTTTATTGGAGATAAGAGTCTCATGGACTTTTCAGCCCGGGCTTTGAACCATGCTCCTCAGATCTCAGTCTCCTGAGTAGCTAGGATGACAGGCATGAGCATCCGGCCTTTTTTCTCAGAATTTTAACTTTGAAAAAATATTTTTATACGTGAGCACAAAATCTATAAACAGTTTCCCAATGTGGATCTAAGACACATAGAAACATGTAAAAAGAAGTAGGAACTTCTAAAAATTAGAAATGTTCACATCAGGGGCTGGGAAGGTGGCTCAGTGGTAGAGCACTTGCCTTGCATGCATGAGGCCCTGGGTTCGATTCCTCAGCACCACATAAGCAAAAAGAAAAAAAAGCCAGAAGTGGTGCTGTGGCTCAAGTGGTAGAGCGCTAGCCTTGAAGTGAAGAACTGAGGGACAGCGCCCAGGCCCAGAGTTCAGGCCCCATGACCGGACCCCCCCCCCCCCAAAAAAAAAAGAAATGTTTACATCAGTTGCTAACTGGCGGCTCATGTCTGTAATTCTAGCTACTCAGGCTGCTGAGATTGAAGATCACAGTTCAAAGACAGCCTGGGAAGGAAGGTCTGTGACTCTTGTCTCCAATTACAGAAAAAGCTGGAAATGGTGCTGTGGCTCAAGTGGTAGAGCACTAGCCTTGAGCAAAATGGAGCTCAGGGACAGCAGCCAAGCCCAAGTTCAAGCTCCAGGACCCAGAAAAAAAAATGTTCACATCATTCCTGATATTCTCCTCATTGTTAAAACACACATGGCTTTTGTTGATAGTTGGTGAGATTTTTTTTCAAAATGCCTTTCTATATTTCTGAAGTTCTCCTAATTATATTTAGATCAGAACATTAGACATGTCTTATATATATACACATATATATGTGTGTATATATATATAGTCTCTCTTTTTCTCTCTTTCTTTCTCTCTTCTTCCTCTCTTTCTCTCTCTTTCTTTCTCTCTTCATTCTCTTTCTTCTTTCTCTTTCTCTCTTCCTTCCTTCCTTTCTTTCTTTCTTTCTTTCTTTCTTTCTTTCTTTCTTTCTTTCTTTCTTTCTTTCTTTCTTTCTTTCTTTCTTTCTTTCTTTCTTTCTTTCTTCCTTTTCTGTCCTGGGGCTGGAATTCTGGGTCTGGGTGCTATCCCTGAGCTCTTTTGTTCTACCACTTTGAGCAGTGCCACCTCAGGTTTTTTGGTGGTTAATTGGGGATAAGTGTCTCATGGACATTCTAGCCTAGTCTGGCCTGGCTTTGAATCGTGATTCTAAGATCTCAGCCTCCTGAGTAGCTAGGATTATAGGAGTGAGCCACCAGCACCTGGCTTGTCTATCTCTTTCTATGTATGTTCATGTGACTAAGATATAAGGACATTCTCAAAAATTTTGAGAATAAAAAATTAAATGCTGTCCTATGAGCAATATGTTCATTAGGGAGACATTATGTAGGGGCTGCCTGTGTACCCATACTACACACATACATAAATATCTTATCACATGTTCTAACACATGGAGGCCAGGAAGAGACGTTGGAACTTCTCCTTGCTCTACATTGCTCAAACTACTTTTCTTTTTTCTTTTTTTTTTGGGGGGGGTCCAGTTGTGGGGCCTGAACTCTGGGCCTGGGCGCTGTCCCTCAGCTCTTCAGCTCAAGGCTAGCGCTCTACCACTTGAGCCACAGCGCCACTTCCGGCTTTTTTCTTTTTGCTTATGTGGTGCTGAGGAATCGAACCAAGGGCCTCATGAATGCAAGGCAAGCGCTCTACCACTGAGCCACCTTCCCAACCCTCAAACTACTTTTCTAATCAATCAAGAACTATGTGATAGATACCTGCTGTGCAGAGAACTCCGCAAGAGGTTGAGAATAAAAGAATAAAACAATAAGATAGGGTCTTACACTGGACAGTGGAAGAAAGAAAGTGAACAAGAGACTAAACACAGTGTGTACAGACTGAGATGAGTGTGATAAAGAAAGAAGGATATAATAGGTTGATCTTAGCAATCATCTGTGAGTGTTGTATCACTACTGATACTTTTTTTTTTTTTTTGGTTGGTCGTGGGCTAGAACTCTGGGCCTGGGCGCTGTCCCTCAGCTCTTCAGTTCAAGGCTAGCACTCTGCTACTTGAGCCACAGCGCCACTTCCAGCTTTTTCTGTTTATGTGGTGCTGAGGAATCGAACCTGGGGCCTCATGCATGTGAGGCAAACACTCTACCACTGAACCTCCTTTCCAGCCCCTGATACTTCTTTTTTTTTTTGGGGGGGGGGTCCGGTCCTAGGGCCTGAACTCTGGGCTTGGGCGCTGTACCTCAGCTCTTTAGCTCAAGGCTAGCGCCACTTCCACCTTTTTTCTTTTTGCTTATGTGGTGCTTGGGAATAGAACCCAGGGCCTTAGGCATGCAAGGCAAGCGCTCTACCACTGAACCACCTTTCCAGCCCCTGATACTTCTTTTTTTTTTTTTTGGGGGGGGGGGGTTCCGGTCGTAGGGCCTGAACTCTGGGCATGGGTGCTGTACCTCAGCTCTTTAGCTCAAGGCTAGTGCCACTTCCACCTTTTTTCTTTTTGCTTATGTGGTGCTTGGGAATAGAACCCAGGGCCTTAGGCATGCAAGGCAAGCGCTCTACCACTGAGCCACCTTCCTAGCCCCCCTGATACTTCTTATCAGCTGTTTTCTCCTTCTCTGAGTATTGAGTACACACACACACACACACACACACACACACACACACACACACACACATACACACACACATACTTCCTAGCCCTCATTCCTGAAATCTGAATTCTGCACAGGGTCATTGAAGATATTTGCCCTGAAGAAGTGGTGACATCTAACCCTAGACCTAAAAGATCAAAGGACATAGGATTTAAAGATCCTGAAGAAGAGTGTTCAAAGAAGCAACATCATATACAAAGGCCAAGAGTAGAGGAAGAACTTGATATTGATATTTCTGATGAACATTAAGATTTAATCAATTTTTCTCATTATACCTCCTCTTCTTATTATGGTGTGTCTGCAAAGACTCTCAACCCATCTCCAGATCCTCTTTTAATGGGTCCCCTTCTCTTTCACTGTTTGAAATACCTTTTTTTTTTTTTTTTTTTGCAGTTGTGGGACTTGAACTCAGGGCCTGGGCACTATCTCTGAGCTCCTTTCCTCAAGGCTAGCGCTCTGCCACTTTGAGCACAGAGCCACTTCTGTTTTTTGGGCAGTTAATTGGAAATAAGAGTCTCACAGGGACTTTTCTGCCCAGGCTAGCTTTGAACCATGATCTTCAGGTCTTAGCCTTCTGAGTAGCTAGGATTATAGGTGTGACCCATCAGTGCCTGGCCAAAATCTCTTTATGGAGATAACATTAAAATAGTTTTCCTTAGCTCTCTACAAATGAGCTATATGGACAGAAGCCTCAAGTCAAGTTTCCTGCCTTTGTGTCCTTATGCTCTGGCATACATGAATTGTACTTGTGATGCTTCTGAACCTGGAGGTAAGCTTGGCTAATTACAAAGAAAGACCTGAATGGCTGGTGTTTGTCTAGAGTGGGCCATAAGGAATGTTCTCAGGGCCCTTTAGTTTGGAAAGAAGATACCATGCAAGTATGTGAGGTATGTCATTAAAGCCCCTGAGAAAGAGGGAAGGATCAAGCAACATAAACTCAGAATTTGGAAGATGTGATCAGCCTGGAACACCTTTGGAGACAGCCTTTGCATCATATGAACTCATACACTGCCAAGTTGAACTGAGAACATAAACTACGATCTCTACAGGCAAATTACAGAGGTTTTTTTTTTTTTTTGAGTCCGGTTGTGGGGCCTGAACTCTGGGCCTGGGCGCTGTCCCTCAGCTCTTCAGCTCAAGGCTAGCGCTCTACCACTTGAGCCACAGCGCCACTTCCGGCTTTTTTCTTTTTGCTTATGTGGTGCTGAGGAATCGAACCCATGGCCTCTGGCATGCAAGGCAAGCGCTCTACCACTGAGCCACCTTCCCAGCCCAAATTACAGAGTTATTATGTGACTCTATCCATTAGGAAATTCAATCCAAAAGAGACTGCTGCTCACTTTGTACCTCACATGAAAAATCAAATAGAATCTAATGTGAAAAAACTATAACACAACAGAATTGGGAGAAATAGTAAGCATTAGGGAATAACTGCTCTCAAAAAGAAGAAGAACAGGGCTGTGAAGGTGGCTCAGTGGTAGAGTGTTTGCTTTGCATACATGAGGCCCTGGGTTCAATTCCTCAGCACCACATAAGCAAAAAAGCCAAAAGTGGTGCTGTGGCTCAAGTGATAGAGTGCTAGCCTTGAGCTGAAAAGCTGAGGGACAGTGCCTTAAATAAATACAAAGTGTAAAACCAATCAACATATTGAGAGAGGAAGATTAAAAATACAAACACATGGCCAGGTGCCAATGGCTCACATCTGTAATCCTAGCTACTCAGGAGGCTGAGATCTGAGCATCATGGTTCAAAGCCAGCCTGGGCAAGAAAGTCCATGAGACTCTTATCTCCAATTAACCACCAGAAAGCCGGAAGGGGTGCTGTGGCTCAAAGTGGTAGAGCACTAGCCTTGAGCAAAAAGAGCAACTGAAAATACATTGTTGTTAATTTAAAAGAATTAGTAGCCATGGACTGAAAAATGGAGCTTCTCATTTACCTAGTCAGAGAGTTCCACAGTCATCTATCAGTAATTGTACTGTATTAGTTATAATTATTAGCACATTAGGAAAAAAAATGCCCAAATGACACAACAAAGGACTCTCCAATACTAGCACAAAAATGAGACAGAAAATACGCACCTACTTCAAATGATATTCTCAAAGAAAAAAGACTTATAAAAAAATGTCCCAATGCAGTCTGAAGTTTAAGTAAACTTGTTGGCATTGTTTTAAGAAGGAAAGGGAGCAGGTGCTGGTGGCTCACCCCTGTAATCCTAGATACTCAGGAGGCTGAGATCTGAGGATCGCGGTTCAAAGCCTGCCCAGGAAGGATAGTCCGTGAGATTCTTATTTTCAATTAACCATCAGAAAACCGGAAGTGATGCTGTGGCTCAAGCTGTAGAGCACTAGTCTTGAGCTGAAGAGCTCAGGGAAAGCACTCAAGCCCAGAGTTCAAGCCCCACAACCTACCAAAAAAATAAACAAAATTTTTTTGAAAAAAGGGAGTGAAGGGAGAGGATCGAAGGGAGAATGAGAAGAAGGGGCGAGTTTGATGGGGGACATTATATACATGAATAGCAATAACACAATTAAACCCCTTTGTTTAACTACTACATGCTAAGAAAAATGTATAAAAACAAAACCATCACAAGACAAGGTTTACAAAGTCTACCTAGATGTAGACCAGAGATTGATCAAGGTTGGGAAACGAGAGGGAAAAGGGAGGTTGTATTTGATCACTGTACATTATATGCACACGTGGAATTATTACACAGAGCTTCATTAACATGTATAAATCAGGACATGTTAGTCAAAAGTTAAAAGGAAAAGGTAAAGAAGCAAGTAACAAACCCATATAGCAGTTGGCTGCAACTTAAAAACGTGGAGAGTGATGAAGTTGTAGTTGATTTCTCTGTTTCCAAAACAGGTCCATGATTCATGTCTTGGTTTTTGAAGTATAAAGTACAGAATTTCAGGTGGAAGAAACAAGTTCTGATGTTCTATTACTAAGTAGAGCCACTACAGTTAACAATAATATATTATGTAATGCCTAATAGCTAGAAAAGAGGATCTGGAATATTCCTCTCATATAGAAATGGTAAATGTTTAAGATGATCTGTACATACTAATTACCCTTTGTTTGATCATTGTATAATGAGCATATGTATCAAGACATCACAAATATGCACAATTATGTGTCAATCAAAAATAAAATAAGACTGAGAATGTAGCTCAGTGGTATCACATTTGCCTAGCTAGCTAGGCAAGGCCCTGAGTTTGGTGAGCATTGCAATATATATATATATATATATATATATATATATATATATATAAACAAAACAAAACAAAAGAAAGTAATTTAAAATAATATGAAGCAACAAAGTGAGTGGGGCATGGTAGCATATACTTATAATCCCGGCCCAACAGAGGTAGAGGCAAGAGGACTGAAAGGCTTGCAAGGCCAGTCTGGGCTACATAGCAAAATTCTGTCTTAAAAGCTAAAACCAAATTTGAAGAAGGAAAAGTAAGAAGGAATGCTTATATGAATAGAACTGAAATCTGATATGACCTGCCAACAGTTCCCCATACTGTCCATATTTTTCTTTTCTGCCTTACTGTCCTATATGTATTTAGAAGCAGCCTTCTAACCACAATCAAAATCAGTAACAACATGATAGATCTTGTCTGTAAGACTAAGAACTTGGGAGAAGTGGTTTTATGGAGCTGTGAAAGTCATACCCTTGAGCAGAGTGAAATGAGCAGGGCTGGCCTGGCCTGGCTCTAAGTATCAGAACTGAGGGCAGCCTGGAATAGCTGGCCTGTCTCTGTCTATGGTGGTGACTATAGACGATTTGCATCTCCCACCCCCATGCCAATCATTCACTCTGAGCTGCTGCTGATAATAATAATAACATTATTATTATTATTATTTTCTACTGGTCCTGGGGCTTGAACTCTGGGCCTGGATGATGTTCCTTGAGCTTCTTTGTGTTCCAGGCTAGTGCTCTACCACTTGAGCTACAGCGCCACTTCTGGCTTTTTATGAGTAGTTTATTGGAGATAAGAGTCTCTTGAACTTTTCTGCCTGGGCTGGCTTGCAATCTTGATCCTCAGATTTCAGCTTCCTGAATAGCCAGGATTATAGGCGTGAGCTACAGGCTCCTGGCTTCTACTCTGAGATTCTTGAGGTTGCCTTGCCTAGGACAGAGGCCCTGGGCAGCAGCAGGACAAACTTCATCTCCCTTCCATGGAGAACTCTTGTGCAGGCCCCTGTTCTATGCTAGCCATATCTTCTTCCCCAAGATTTTGCATTTACCTGCAATCAGTTGGGCCAGGAGCATAAAGATTGTAACGGTGACCAATAAGGACTTCATGGTTCTTGAAAGACAGTTGGCAGGAGGTTCTGCAGGGTCCAGAACTCTGTATTCAGGTTGACTCTAAACACAGATCTGTATTGTCTGCGTAGGGAGGGTTGGGCTCAATCAGTAGAGCATCAGGATATACGCTACTGTGCCAAGTGTAACTTCAGTCCATTGGCCAGCAGCTCTAATTGAAGCATCATTCTCCAAGGGCCCTGTGCTAGGTATGCCTTGAGGGAAGGAGAAAATCTTAGCAGAGAAGGTGCAAGGCCTGTTGAAGTGTGTGGAGATTGGAAGGGCAAGAAGAATTACAGGAGGACTTCATGCTGATCCTTTTCCGTACCTGGTCTGATTTTTTTCACAGCTGCCTGGGTTCGATCAGAGTGTTCATCTTTCTGAATTACAATAGTTTATTCATCGTCCTTCTCTCCCATTAAAATATAATGCCTTCCAGCACATGTAATGCATATTATTCTTTTCTGCATATAAATTCCATGTATCTATCTATTGGTCTATCTATCTGTCCATCTATCTAACTATTATATATCAATCCTCTCCATACATACCAGATTATTTTCTATACATTATTCTTTTCTGACCATCATCTCAGGCAGTATTTGCCATTTACATATCTTCTTTGGTAAAGGAGCTGTTTAAATTTTACTCCATCTTTTCATTCTTCTTTTTCGTAAAGTTAGTGATGACATTATATATTTTACATCCAAAAACTTTGTGGAATATGTGATTTGCATATATTTCCTTCTAGTCTGTGATTGTCTATACTTTTGTGTCTTATTTTTGTTGCCAGTCCTGGGGCTTTAACTCAGGGCCTGAGCCACTGACTCTGAGCTTCTTTTGCTCAGGGCTAGCACTCTACCACTTGAGCCACAGTGCCACTTCTGGCTTTTTCTGTGTTTGTGGTGCTGGGGAATCGAACCCAGGGCTTCATGCATGCCAGGCAAGCACTCTACCACTGAGCTACCTTCTCAGGCCCAACTTTTGTGTCTTTTAATGATTGGTATTTATTTTTGATGAAATCCTGTATATTGATACTCTAGAGTCTGTCCCTTTGTGTGATAGTTACAGTGCCACTAAACCCAGGGTCCTGCAAATTGATTTATATTTTCAGAAGAAAACATACAGAAAGAAGTTTAATTTCTCCCTTCCTCTAGTCAGAGTTTTTTTAAAGCATAGAATCATATTGTTTATCTGAATGTCTTTTATTTATCTCTTGTCTTACTGCTCTAGCTAGGAATTCCAGACCTGTGCTAATAATAGTGATGAAAGTAGACAGCCTTGTCTCATTCCTGACTTTAAAGGAAATTATTTCAGTTCTTTTCTTTTTAGGATGGCTGCCATAGGCGTGTCATATATAACCTTTTATGTTGAACTATGTTCCTTCTTTCCCTAGTTTCTTCAGAGCTTTTCTCAGAAAAAGATTTTGAATTTTTTTTTTTTTTTGTCCATTGTGGAGCTTGAACTCTGGGCCTGGGTGCTGTCCCTCAGCATTTCAGCTCAAGGCTAGCACTCTGCCACTTGAGCCACAAAGCCACTTCTGGTTTTCTGGTGGTTAATTGGAAATAAGAGTCTCATGGACTTTCCTGCTGGGGCTGGCTTTGAACCATGATCCTCAGATCTCAGCCTCCTGAGTAGCTAGGATTACAGGATTACATGGTGGCATGAGCCACCAGCACCCAGTTTGGATTTTGAATTTTGTCAAAGGCTTTTCCTGCATCAATTGAGATGATTAAATAAAATAACCTCTGTGTTAACACTTACTTGTTAAAATATTAGCAAGAAAACGTAGCCCCACAAACTAATGCGTCACTATGGCACTGTCAGAAGATGCCCATTCATACATGACTGTGTTTAATAAAATGTAAATCTGATTACACCTGCACGATCTCTCCCTGCAGGCCCCCTTCCACCCCTCTGCTGCCAGCCTCCAAGTAAGTCCTGATTCTATTGCCCAGAGGTGGCACAATTCTACATCCAAGATGCACCTTCTGCTGCTTATAACAGGTACTTACAAGTTAGCTATCTCACTCGCTCTACTTTGTTACCATTCATTGTCACCTAGGACATCTATAAAGATTAAATGCTGTGAAATAATACGCTTTGTGCACAAATACAAGTACTTTACAAAAAATGCACATAGAGACTCATGTTTCTAACTGAAGTCTGTCTTCTAGATTGGAGCTACTGCAGTGAGCCTTCCCCTCATCTTCCCCTTCTCCTTCTCCATCACTCTAGATGCCAGCTCCAAGATAATATTGGGCTGGGAAGGTGGATCAGTGGTAGAACGCTTGTCTTGCACGCATGAGGCCCTGGGTTCGATTCCTCAGCACCACATAAGCAAAAAAAAAAAAAAAAAAGCCGGAAGTGGCGTTGTGGCTCAAGTGGTAGAGTGCTAGCCTTGAGCTGAAGAGCTGAGGGACAGCGCCCAGGCCCAGAGTTCAGGCCCCAAGGCCAGATCCCCCTCCCAAAAAAAAAAGATTTAATATTAAGTTCACTCCCAGGAGACAGTTTTTTGCTAAACACTAACCAAAGGACATTTATGTAGGGATTACTTTCTATTTCTTACTTTGAGCATTAGGACTTATCTCTAAAATATTTAGCAATATTAACTAAAATACTCAGAACGAAGTCTAGACCATCTGAACCAACGGAACAGCACAAGAGAGCCTGCTCTTTGCACGCTTCCTCCCCAACCACCCCCTGCTACCACCCAGTAAATAGCATAATCTCTAAAACATTACAATTCATTCCCAAATTCAACCACAACGAATAGTTTAAGGGCATTCTGTTAACCCTCTATTTTTACAAGGTTATGCATATTTAGACATCTAGAAAGACTAGATGCTTCTAATAAGGTCTTAAGTTTCCCACCATGCATTAAAGTAGTACCAGATAAACCACACATTTAACTAAAGCTCCTGGGCTGGGAAGGTGGCTCAGTGGTAGAGCTCTTGCCTTGCATGCATGAGGCCCTGGGTTCGATTCCTCAGCACCACATAAGCGAAAAGAAAAAAGCCGGAAGTGGAGCTGTGGCTCAAGTGGTACAGCGCTAGCCTTGAGCTGAAGAGCTGAGGGACAGCGCCCAGGCCCAGAGTTCAGACCCCATGACTGGACCAAAGAAACAAAAACAAAAACAAAAAAACAAAAAACCCAAAAGCTCCAATTTGAAAGGAAGGTTCTGGCCTAGAACCCTTCCCATCTGCATCCACCCAGTGGTCAGGGTTATTTATGCATCTGCCATGTTTCAAGGGTATTTTAGCAATTTGACTCCAAAAATATTTACAATCTTCCTATAAATTTTAACACAAAATGTATTCAATGTATTAGTTTACTAGCTCTACTTTTGTCACTAGCAACCTTTTTCACATCTAGCAAGACTAGATATTGTAAATTAGAACTCATTTGCCCATTACTTACACTATCCACAGAACCAAATAAAATGAAATGCATGGACCTAAGGGACAATGTTCAATCCTGCAGCATCACAAACCATTGGTAAGAAGCCCTCAGTACTTCTCTGCCTCCCTACCGAAGCCAGTACAAACAAACACCTTGTGTACTGCTCAGAGAATTGGTTTCATCGTTCCATTTTTTAAAAACCCACAAAATTTCGTGATCAAGTTTTTTTGTCCGTCATGGGTTGCCACTTCCGGTGGTTTATTGGAGGTAAGAGTCTCACGGACTTTCCTGCACGGGCTAGCTTTGAACCATAATCCTCAGATCTCAGCCTCCTGAGTACCTAGGATTACAGGCATGAGCCACTGGTGCCCGGCTCGTGATACATTTTTAAATGTGCCAGTACTGGGGTGTGAACTCAGGAACTGGACACTGGCTCTTAGCTTTTCTGCTCCAGGTAGAACCACTTGAACATTATCTGCCACCACCCAAAGGCACTTCTTTGCCCAGTGGCCTGGTGGGAGCTTTGCCTTAGGCCCTGCAAGGTTGTGACAGGAAAAGCAGCAGCATGCAGGGCCAGGGTCTGAGAAGCCATTGCTGCCCTCAACTCATTGTAGTGGGAGAGGGGTTCACTGCTTTGAGGCTGGCATCAGACGGTAGGCAGCTACAGTCAGGCCTCCAGGTATCTACAGAGAGGTTGTAGCGTGTCCCTTGGCCCCTCCCTTTTGCCCTTTGGGGATCAGTGGATCTGGGGAGGATCTTGGGAACCAGGCAATGTTCATTCCTCACTGTGTGCTCTGACTATGTGATTTTTTTTTTGTCTTTTGTTCTGTTTTTGTGCTGTGTTAGATTTGTTGATTTGTACATGCTGAACTGCCCTTACATCTCTGGAATGAAAACAACTAGATTACAGGGGACAATCTTCAATGTGGCTTGAAGTTCAGCTTATGAGTATTAATTTTTGGGTCTATCTTCATCAATGAAATGGGTCTGCAATTCTCTATGGTGTGTGTGTGTGTTTGTGTGCACGTGTGTATCTTTGTTGGGTTTTAGTATGAGTACGATACTTGCTTCATAGAACAAGGTTTATAGTGTTTCTTCTCTTTTTATTTCATGGAAATTTTGAGTATTGGTGTTCGTTCTTTTTTTATTTTTTTAAGGCCTGGTAGAATTTAGCAGTGGATCATTGGGTCCTGGGCTTTCTTTCTGAGAGACTATTGTGGCTTCAATCTCAGTGCTTGTTATCAAGCTGTAGATCTATTGGTAAAGTTTATACATTCTCGGCTCAATTTTGGTAGGCCAATTGCTTCTAGGAATCTGTTTCTTTTAGATTTCAGTTTTTTGAATATAGGTTTTCAAAATATTCCCTCATAGTCTTTTGTATTTTATTACTATTTGTTGTGATATTCCCCAATTCACCTCTAATTTTATTAATTTGGGTTATTTTCTGCCTCCTTTTAATTAGATTAACTGAAGCTTTTTTTATCAATTGTATTTGTTTGTTCAGAGAACCTATTTTTTGTTTCATTTACTCTTTGCATAGCTTTTTAGTTATTAATAATTATTATTTAATTAATTTCTGAGCTTTTTTTTTTGTCAGT